AATATCGACCTTATTACTAACAATCCCCTTCCCCCCTCCAAATGAGGTTGCTGAATAATAAAATGTCGGTTACGCTCTTATTTCATTACGACTAATCCTACCTGGGGGGAAAGGGGTTGTTAGCAATGGAGTTTGACAGCCCCATTGCTAGCAATATGCCCTATCAGGTCCACCTCCACGTGGTTCCCCCTGAAAACCATCGTGAACAATTCTTGTTGAATTCGTCACGATGAGCTAACTGGCCTGCTTCATCCTCACCTATCATCTTTCACTGATGCCCCGCCGGCGTATACCGATAGCGCGGGTGGGATTACCATTCCATTATCACTCATAAAAAAAAAAAACAATAAAACTAATCCTACCTTTGTAATTGTATAATGCCTTAAACTAGACAAGTAATACTTTCAGCCTTATAGGTAGGTATCTATTGATAATCAAACAATACACTCTATCTATTTACTGTAAGTACAAAGGATTTTTATCTGTTATTAGAGTACGAATATCGATATGCTTTTTAGAAACATTTCCCTTGTTAGGATTGAAACAAAGACATTACACATTGTTTATCATTGCCACCAACCGGATTCGAAAAATTCTTTTTGCATTTAATAGCTCACTTTTTGAGGAACATTTTAACATAACCAATTACCACGAATGAAGCCGCTAGTGTATAATATTTACACCTACGTATAAACACTTTAATGGTCACAATAAACAAGGTAATATCATAGCTCCCGTAATTCCCTAAAGGGAATCGGAGGTCACACGTGACACAAGTATTCAGATGTAAGAAATTAACACCTCCGCTAGGATTAGCGGATGTTCATGACCTTAGGCAAAGGTCGCAATGAAACAATTTGTCTATAAATATCGCCCCTTGATAATATAATACCGTACCATTTACACACATTAACATTCGATGTTTGTGAAAGTTAATTAATTAACCATTTAAAATAAAATAATCTAAAAACGGTTATGTCACTACTGGCGGTTTGCGATAGATTTGTATTTTTCGTATAGTAACTCGTTAAATAATTTCCCGTACAGCCTAAATTTATAAAATCGTTTGTCCTAACTGACTTTTTGAGCTTTCTATACTTAGTAGTTTTAGCTGTACGTATTAATCTTAGATTTTATGCGTAAGTATATAGAACACTGATAAAAAAACGAGTCAGTTAATTTAACAATTAGCTGACAAAAAGTTTGACCCGTTTTTGAGGCTCGATGCTCTATCTATATCATTTAAGGTATTAACATATAACATACTTAGTTTAGAAAGTTAAAATATATAATATAGGTTTATTTTATAACATAAGTATCAGCTAAGAATAGATTTTTAAACATTTAATAGTAAAACGTTTATCTACTATTATTACAATTTACGTCTGTATAGACAAAAATTATAGATTACTCCTACTATCCATGAACGGACAAAGAGCTAATTGGCATTGAAAAAACAATAGCTAATATTATGTAGTTAGAAATTATATCAAATATCTATTTATCACTAGCCTACGTATTAATGAAATCCATGAACTATTTTCTAAAACTAAAACTAAATAGCTGTCACAATCAAAATGTCTTCTTGAATTTGAATAATCTAAATCTGATTGTAATAGAAATAATCAATGTATAACTAAAATGACAATGAATAAAATGTACTTCATTTTTCGATAAGTGAGTCCCAATAGGTATGAAAATGTTAATTACGTCAGAGATATTTGTGATTGCAAACTCTTTATCAATACTGTCACTTTGAAGGTTGTTCTGAACTTACCTAATATTCTTCTACATCCCGTTAGATAAATTTTGTACAAACACGGCAAGTACTTTCAAATCGATTATTTTATTAATATTTTTATATTATAACATTATAAACATAATGAAAAATTATTATGTTTGTAATCAGTTTATATGTTTACTATGAGGTATTTCATTTTTCATATTTTATATATTCATTTTAATAGTTCATTATGTTGTTATAAAAGTAGTAACGTTTTTTTGTGTGTTTATTTTCGGAAAATAATATGACTTAATTTCAGGTAAATATATGAAAATGTAGATATTAATATATTTACTTTTACTTAGTCTATTAAATATATTTTTATAAAAGTTTAAATTAGTTGAATTAGTTATACTACTTTAAAAAATAAGCTGGTTAGTAATTTGCTAAATAATTTAATTTATTATCTGAATCGGAATCGCAGAATTAATTTAATTATTTACCATGATAGTTGATTTTCTTCGCATTTTTTCTACGCAATTTCAGAATAAATAGTATCTACATAAATATACGATGTTTCAGTGTTAGAATCGGCGTCGTGAAATAAATTTGAATATTTGCCAAGGTATCTTATAAAATACATAATTTACTGCACTTTTATCATTAATAGAATTCGGTCATATATACAAAAAATTTAAGGAATGTGTCCTTATATTTAAGGGCACGCACTTGGGATGACAGCAGAAAGATAATGATGATGATAAGGGCATACTATGTACTATCTTACTAAAACATGTGAGATAACTTTAACAATTAGACTTCAAATTTATATTATATATATAAAAAAATATGTAAACGAAGAAATCATATATAAAAAGATACATGCATAAAATATAATAATAGCCTCTTCCTTTCTTAAATTAAAATGAGGATATTCTCATTTTATATATACAATAAAAAAAATAATTATATATGGTATTCTTCTTCATTGCGTGTCGACACGATAGCAAGACAATAATTAAATATTTGTAGCCCAGAACTTGGCCGTGATACTTTGATAAGGTACATTTACACTTGTATTAGTTTATATTCCGTGCGAGGTGCCTATTCTCATTCTCACAAACTCGTTAAGTAGCGGTTGACCTGTTTTCTTAAATTTGAACTGAAGTGCCGATTGTAGACTATTACGTAGGTGTGTATGTACACACGATATAAACAGATGTGACCATAAACTTGAAAAATAACATTAGAAATTCAAATTCTTCATATGGCCTACATAAACGACCCGTACAAAGGTTAAATATGTACTGATGTCACTTAGAAGGATGACTTAAGTTTGTTTATATTGTGCTCAAGCAGAATACCTGCTAATGATAATGAACTTTCTGATTCTTATAATTATAATAACTTTTTTTTTATAACACAAGGGGCAATTTTATAATCATAACATTATGAATGTGAGAATAAGTTTATTTGTTGCCCTTGGCATCTTTATGGCTTAATAATTCATCTTGAAACTTGATATATACTTATATAGTGTTCTGGACATAGTATATAGACAGCTTTTTATTCCAAACATGCCGAAATATTCGCGTTTATATGTTGATTTATTTATTTTTTCCTCTTTATTGACTATTTAACTAAATTAACATGGATAAAATATTTATTTTATCAGGTTTTAATATTATTTTAAAGTTAACATCAATTATTATTAACTTAATTAAATATTATTTGAATAAAATGATTTAATTTCTCATAAAAGTTTCTAAAAAGTCTCATACACAAAGCGTAATCGTAAAGATCTTTCGTAAGATACTAAAATCGAACAACAGTATGATGCATGTTTCAATTTCTTAATCCGCGACCGATTGCAAATCGCAATTGAAACTCACAAAAAAAACTGATTAGATTAAAATCGTTTAATCAAATTGCACGTGCCCAGTTATTTGTTGAAATCGGAAGCAATCTCCGATCAGAAGCAGTGTTGCAAATTCAACTTTACGTAATCAATATAGAGTCAGTCGTATATTATTGATTGGTTTTATTTTATTATTAAATTAATAAAAATCATACTATGTTCGACCCTTAATGTTGCTCGAATTTACCTATTTATTAATCCATAGGGTTAATTTATTTATAATATTAATAAACTTTTACCTCGTAAATAAAATCTGATCTCTCTTACGAAATTATTCAAATCAGATGAATTTTGATTGGTATTATATTCCAACCAAATACTTTATTATCATCTACAGAGGAAAGTTAACTTAAAATGCCTATTGTCGAGTGTAATTTGAGAATAAAAAATATTGCATATAATACAATTTAGGTAATTAAGCTAGGTCATTATATAAGTTATGTCACTTCACTTTTACTTAACAATCGTTGCATACATATGTATAGCTATTATACTGTTTATTAATTTTACATAGATCTGCATCGAGTTGAGGTAGAGAATCCAGGCACAAAATCGAGTTCACAGACAAGTAGGTATATCCTAGACCTAGTGACACAGATTACTTAACTTATAGGTAGGTAGGTACGTGCTCTGTAAACATTCAAAGAACTTTATATGATTAAATACATTTAACATTATAACTATTATGTATCTATGTAGACTTGGCAACAACACTAATGGGGCTGTTAGTGATAACTTCGTGATAAAATGGGAATCGTCCTAATTTATTTAATTTGTGCGTAATTGTTGTAGCGGGGTCAAGCAAGCGTTGCATAAGTAGATGCATCTGCTTGACATTTGAATCGACCCCGAATCTGAATAGAAACTGTGTCACGCATTAGCAGCGCGCACAGCGGCAGCTCCGCACAGCATCGCGACGTAGAGTTGCGTTGTGCAATCCCGTTAGCGTTCCACGTGCGAACGGCTACCGCCGCACCTCAATGTCGCTCGTGGGCGTCCGCCACCGGCACCGGCACCGGCACCGGCACCGTCACCGCTGCAATCACCGTCACCTCACCCCGCCGCCGGCCGTCGGCCGCTGTCGCTACATGCCGCTACGATGCTCTACACCACCGCCACCATCACTACGCCGCGCCGCACCGCCCGCTCAAAATAGCGAATCCGACCGAACTCATCGATGGCAACCCGAACGAGGCCGAATGCGCTCTCTCATTCGCACCCACATAATCACAGATAACCATTTCACTCCCGCAAACAGCTGAGTATATCAAAACAAAGAAGTGAGACAGGCGGTCGCCGCTCCCGCTCGCCGGCCGGCCGGTGTCGCCGGTTGGATTGCGCCGCACGCCAGTTGTCTTTGGAATCGCATTTGTAGAGGTCGTTCGCTGTGAGCTCGCGTGCGAAATTTACAATCGCGAAAGGATTTTCCTTTGTCCCGATCCTCGAGGACCCTGCCCTCGTATTATGTTTCCGCGCGAGAGCCGCGAACAGCCCCGGCCTACTGAGGAGCCGGACCGTGTGCAGCGCGCCCAATCGCGTCGAAATTTCCGTAGTTTTCCGAAATTCTGTGACGGCTATCCCGCAAAACGCGTACGCCGGGCGATTTGAAATTTTTTAGTGAACGTGTGAGTCGCGAAGCGGGCTACCGAACAGCGTTGCATAAATTAGTGCCGTTAAAGGGTGTGCGAACTGAGAGCATTATGTCGACCGGCAAGAGGCTGGCGAAGCGGTCCATTATAGGAACCCGCGTCGCAGCGCTCGGCGAGGATGGACTGTACTACTCGGGCATGATCCAGGAGGTGAAGACGCCAACGCCGTTCCCTGAGAACAACAACTGCATCAACTTGACACCGAACACCAAGTACACAGTACGGTTCGACGGTGGGAAAGGGACGCGGGAGTACCGCGACGCGGAACTGATCGGACCCGGCTTCCGTGGTATGACTGGCGTGAAGCTGCGGCCCAGCCAGCGCGTCTACCTGACGTACAACGGCCGCGAGGTACGCGCCGACGTGCTGCATCACGACCACGACACAGACGAGCTTCGCGTCCAAGTGCATGCACCCACCGCTGAGGTTATTATATACTATGTACACTACAAACCCCACAAATTAGACTGTTTTGCACTTTCAATAAATTACAAATACAGGAAAACGCCATATACATTTATTTGCACATTTTATAAATGGATATCAACCCATTTATAAAACGTTTCAAAATTACTAAGTCTCATGTAACTTTTATTTTGATATTTAAGGTTTCCACGGATGATAGAGTTTTAAAATGACAAAGCGTCCCACGTCTGCGCAGGTCATTAGCGTAAAAAGTTTGCCCTTATAAAAGACATCAACGATTAAAAACACTCGAATTCGATTCAAAAAGAAATATATGGTTACAGAGCTACGGGTACCTACGTAGTTTGTTTACATAATATGGAATAGACAACGGCAGTGGCATATGTAACGTATGTCATGAACCCTGCACTAAACAAAGGTTTGTGGTGCACGAGAAAAGCGGTCGAGTGCGGGGGCGCGGGCGGTGCGCGTGCAGCGAGCTATTGACCCCGGTTCCACGTGCATCGTGCACCGGCGCCCGCCTGCCGCATTTATCGAGACCATCTTATCATAACCGAAGCACTGACTTGCATCATCTCAACGAGACTCCCGAGTTTAGCTAGACTTTGCTACGTATCTACATTAATCAAACCTTTACATCATTGCCATTCGTAGATATATTTATGATTTTGTGTCACAACAAAAAAACAAATTTCTATCGTGAGAAAAAGTCCGGACGCAATCACCAAAATCGGTTCATAATTGATGAAGACACCGCGTAACATTCATACAAGAATATAAAATTGAGAACCTTCTCCTTTTTTAATTAAAAGTACAAATAAATTAATTAATGTCTTGCTATATGCAATAATTTAATTAGATTAGGAAAAAGAATTCTGCATAAATAATATGGATAGGGAATTTATTTTCATACGTCATCATTGTTCGAGAAATACAATGAAAATAATAAACAACATAATTAAATTCTTTGTTGTGTAAAGACTATTTTTTAGTAATTACGCTAGTGGGTTTGTAAATTATCGGACAATATACGGTTACCTACTGGTATAATACCTAAGAGATAACATTTTATCATTGTAATTACCTTTCGATATGTATATTATAATATTTTAAACTGAAGATAAGCAAGAGAAAATAAAAATAAATCGCAATATAAATAAGATATAGGTCTTCGCAAACATGTGAAACAATCGAATCGTTTTAATTAAATTATGATAATACTAATCATGCTGTAATGCATGGTAATGTGACGGACGATATCATCAACATGTAGGTGCTTATTACAAAGTTTTAATATACTGTATTACTACTATTCTATTCACGTAGCAATATGGAAATGGATTGGACCTATTCGTTATTCAAATAATTTTGCAATGTCGCTTTAAATATAAAACTACTTGTAATGTCGCGGCAATCGTATCTTATTTAACATAAAATAAATTATAAACAGACTATAAAGATAATAAATAGAATTTGTCTTATCAATGCGCCTACAGAACGTTGTTAGTATTAGACTAGTAATGGTATTGCAATATATATATATATATATATATATATATATATATATATATATATATATATATATATATATATATATATATATATATATATATATGAATAAATAGTCCTATTTTAATTTATACTAAAATATAACCTTTAACAAGTCAAATTATTGAGGCGACTAGATAAACAATTATGTAAATAATTATACAAAATTTAAATAAGACACCACTCCATGCGAGTAAAATCCCTTTAAATCATTTATTTCCAAACCAAATTAATTCAAATGACGACTGTAAGCTACCGGGCTACGTAAGTTTTATAAAATATATGATGCACTCGGTGAATTGAATTGTGCCTCTGATTTACACATAATATCAACAATTTTGAGAAAGTCATAATTTTAGCATAAATTACATCTAGTGAAAACAACTACGACCAATAATAAATAATTATTGATATACTATTACTATATAAATAATAATAATACATATTTTATACTTTAATAAACGACTTTTTGTAATACATTGACTTTGGCTTTTTATTGTTTTTTAGATTAAAGTACTATTCACACAAATGACATTCGTGCGAATCGTGCATAAAGTCCATAGTGCAACGGTAGCCTTAGCTACCCGTCGACGGCTACCGGAGACGCGCAGTTTCTTTTGTTTCAGGACTTTGTTGGCAAAGTGCCGCATGTTGTCTGTAACTCGCATTATTCACCAAGTTCTTTTAGTACAATAACTAAAGAGTTATTGTAATTAATATAAAAATATATATTATTTTTCATATATTTGAGAAAAACATACACGCATATTGATGTATGTACTTATATAAAAAAATTCAAGTAACAAATCGTATTACTGTATATTATTAGGTACAATGATACAAATCAATAAGTCCTTCTACTACTATACTAACAGCAACACACTGCGCTAAATTCTAAAATTCGGTACCGTTATACCGTTATAGCAACGCACAAGACGGCGCCATGGCAAATAACAGATTCAAATTGGCCAAGATTATTTGTCATTAGTAATTGCTATAATCCGTTCACTAATTTTAGTTTAAAAGTGACAAAACATTGTAATAGTTAAAACAGTTTTGCAGGAAGTTTTATTTTTTTATAAATAAGAGGATACATGTATAGAAGTACAAATTTTGTTTTTAACGTACTTATATTATTGTATGATATATTTTTTTATTAACAGATTGTCGAAGAGCACTGAGTTTTTAACTAAGACATTGTATTGTCATACAAATTAGTTTCGTGCTATTAACATCTATGCTGAGAAATAAGATGATTAATTTATCTATTATAAATAATTATATACATATAAACAAAGAACATTCCGATATATAGAAAATAAAGACGATAATCGTTTGAGATTTAATCCGCCTCAACAAAGTAGAGCACGGCATGAGTAAACTCATCAGCCGCCCCGCGCACTAACAACCGGCCCCCGTTCACTCGTAAGCAAGCCGGTATCGTCGTCTTACACAATGCTTTTATCTTATTTGACTCCAAAAAAAAAAAATCTATGCAACATTATCTGCAGACTGATAACCAGTTTAAAAAAACTCGTCCAATCTGACCTTCAATTTGTTTGCCAAAGTTCATGATAATTTCTTAAAATAAATATTAATGCCTACTTAAAAGTACGCTGCATGCATTATTAATTAGATACGTTACAACGTCCAAATTGTGAACTATAGCTATGCAACAAAAACTGAAATTGTATATGCCAACATGCAACAGAAACAAAACTAATTATGGTATTTATTACAACTTCTAACGTGAAACGCTATTGTACGATGACACAACGAGGAAAGCGGATCGGCGCTCGCGCTACTTCGCCTGCGTAAATCGTGACGTTACACGCGATACTTGCATGACGTGCAAGTTCGCCGGCTCGCCGCCACTATGATATCTGGTATTTACTATTCTCCTCAGTTCAGACATCTTTATTATTATTACATTGTACATCTATTTATCTTTTATATTTAATTTTAGTACACATTTCACTATTTACTATTAATAACTGAGCGTACTATGTACTTAATATCTGTCTATAACAAACTGTTATTAGTGTTCGAATCAATAGTAACTAATTGCTTTTAGCTTTTATTACAAAATAAATAAAAATGAAGTCTTGTTTAGTGAAAGATGGCATCCCTATAAGTATTTGTATTCACTTGTTTACAATAACTGTTATACTAACATTATTATTAGGTGCCTATGTACTGGCGTCACAGCTAGATAATGCGTCGCTCATCAAAACAAGTTCAAAGATAGCAAACATAATATTACGCGTTCAATGAAAGGACAGTATATTTTGCCAAACACTGCGATTATTGACATTATGTGAGCAATTATTTCAGTACCGTCATTGTACCTCTAACGATCGCACTTTGCACGCGGTAAATCTACCTGCGACTCTACTGGAAAGTACAAAACGACCTTATCTCGGTATGACGCGGTATTTCCCTGTATGATGCGTCGCATATAGCGTCATGTGTTATTTACTGTGATGGAGTCGGCAAATCCGCTCGCACGCTACACAAAATCATCTCAGTCAGAAGCGCGTTCATGCTACTGCTGACTCACAACCGGCCGGCCGGCGCGGCACCGCGTTCGTAAACAACTTCGCATTTTTACTAGCACTCCAGTCGAACACAGAAATTACGTAAGCTACGAAAAAACTTACAATAGCGCGCAGTAATATGAAATATCAACAATATCCGTTAATCAACCTACTTTAAATAAATACGTGATACTCTTAAAGATTTTAGAACCAACATTTAACTGCTTAATCACAGTGGTTTCAAGATTTCCAAGTAAAGGATCCTTGGAATTAAAACTCTTTATATGTTTCATGTAATTTCATTTAGCACTTGGAATAAATAACTGTTGAACGAGACAACTGCTTTAATATGTCAGGCTATAAGATATAAAAATAAAGAGTGCTCAGCTCAGTCGAGAAATAAGGTCACCGGCAGGCCCGGAACCGACTAACGGCATTCGTTACAAAATCGCGTCAAGAATTATTTTCACGTGCGCGTGTCGGCGAAGTACGGACCGTTAGCCGCGATGGCTAACCCAACTGGCACCGCTCTTCGGCTCACAGGCTGCTAAGTAGAACACCGAGAGTGTGATAATGTCCGTGACGACGTTGACTGTTTGTTTCTACAGTGCTAAATTAAACATTAAATACACTCCTCGCAAAAATTAAGGGAACATAAAAATTTTTGAAATTTTTGGGTGATTTTCAACAGGCTGTATTTCAGTGAAAAATAATCGTACAGGAAATTTAAAAAAAGGGTTTTGAAGCTTGAAAACTTTAGTTTTCAGATTTTTGGTGAAAAAATTTTTTGAGCTCCGGTTTCCATGCAATTCTTAAACAAAGCTGAAAATATTTTTTTTCTAAATCTTCTAGGTTTTGTTTTTCACTCTATGGGCATGGAAAAATTTTTTCGAGCTACTCCATTGTATAGGTCTC